ATCACAAATTAAAAAAACCATTCGGTCCAATAAAAATTGGTTTACTCTTAAACCAGCCCATTCCACATATAGACCCAATTAGTATTTTACTCTGTCTAATTTTCTGCTACGGCTAGAAATTCTTTTTTTTTAACATGGCTAGAATTTCATTTATCTGCATAAAAAGGTTGACATCTATTAATAACCCGAGTGTATTAAAATCGATTGCATAAAATTATGTTTGTAACTCTTTATTGTGTATACATTCAGTTGTCAAAATTGTATTCGGTTTTGTGTATAGTAATAGTATATATGTTTAATCACTAACCTAACCAAACCAAACAATCGTTTGGGAAAATACAAAATATAGTATACACACAACTTTAATTAAGTCAACAAAAAATCATATTGTCTAACAAAATACCCGACATTAATTATATTATTCTAAAACGAAATCTAAAGATATATGTGAAATGATAGTAATGTATTCAATTGAAGATATACGAAAGCCTAATCAACTCTATAAAATATTGTCAAAATCAGCCATTTTACCAATAACTTAGCTTACCAATATGTTTTTCTTTTGTCATCACGTTAACCAAAAAGATTTTGATCTTTCACATACAATCTTTAAATGAACAACCAGAATGTTTGTTTTTCATATATTATCACATAAATGGAAAAAAAGTTTGGCAATATTTAAAGAAATTATTTTTCCTTAAAAAGTATTATTTCGATATTCCCATTGATGTATTCTGAAGATAATCTTTTAATAGGATAGAAAAACAAATATTCTATTCACTAAACCAATCATAATCAATTTTGTTAAAAAAAATATTCAAATCTAAATATCTAATGGATCAACTATAAGTAATTTTAATAATTCAGAATTGGTAATTAAATGAATTTTTTATAAGACATGCAAATATCTCTGCTTATAATATTTTGTATTAATTTCTTCTATGTCTTCACAATCTCACAAACCATATATACCAGTTATATTTACCTAATTAAAAAAATTAAAAAATTATATATCAAAATTGAATACCAATTTAAGACCGGTACATCAAAGCAAACCAATCTAAACCAATTTTTTAAAAAAAAAAAAAAAAAAACTAAACCTAGTCTACGCGTCTATGTCTCCTCTCCTTCTCAGCTTCTCTTCAGATCTGGCATCGGTGAAGAGAGGACAGGCTCTATCGCAGTACGTCGTTGACCTCCTTTCTCTACAGAAGAAGCAAACACAAAAACAATTAGAAAATTCAAAAGTAAGACTTAAGCATGTAACCATTTACAATAGCAATCTCGTTCGCTCTGTAGCTCACCTAGAAACAAAAAAAAAGTCAACCACACAATGAATCAATACTTTATTAACGAAATTAAGTTATACTGTGAAAACTTTATTTTTTAAAGGAGATTACTTACATCGTTCACATCTTTTCATCTTCGTTTTGGCAATAGCATGAGCTGTAACTGTTCTTCTTCCTGTTTTCTGAATGTTAATTCAATGTTAACCCAAAGCCAAGTTTGTATATAAATCGTGAAGGAAGATACGCACGGAGTGACCAAGGTGAATTTATGATTAGTGAAATTAGATTAAACGACCGAGTTTAATTCCAGTGGCATAAATATGTAATTATTGAGGAAAACTCAGGATTATTTTCTTTTTGTACTTCAGTTTTAATAGTTTAGATTAGCAGAGCTAATTAGCAAGATTTATTCGGCAAAATTCTGAGTAAAAACTGAGGAAGCTGCACTTTCACTTGTTTATTTACACAAAAACAGAAAATGAGAAAAAATGTCAATTTTTCTGATTGAATTGGTATCATGTTCAATAAGTATTTCACAAAGAGAAAATAAAATAATTTTGTGACAAATAAAAAGAGAGACTACAAGAAAATCTACATAGATAATATTTTATGAACTTGAACAGCAGAATAAGTGAAATATTCGTAAATGTAAAAATTTTAACTAAAAAGATGATTAGTACAATTATTTGGTTTTGATGCAGATATTTGATGGACACAATGGTAATTCAAATAAGGAACATCTTCTAGATATTTGATGGACACAATGGTATTTTTAAACTGCCCAAAATTGTTTAAGCTCTAATTATCCTTTTTAGGTTTAAAGTGTTGGTTGGTTGTTTGGTGCTTCACATTTTTTTAACAATAGGTTTTACAAAGGATATAGTAAAGAAAATTACATGTATGTAAATTGTATATTTATTTAATATCTGCTACTTTTGCTGATAATTTTTTTAAGAAAGTTTGGAGAATACACAATGAATACAACTAGGTAAAACCAATTTTTAAAAAAAAAACAAAAAACTACAACTGGAAAGCCATGTTAGTCATAAGTGGTCACTGAACCTTTGCTTGGTTCCCATCTCTTAGACGCTGAAGAGATGTTACGACATGCAACATAGACTTTCAGCTGAAAATAGATCTATTTGGCATACTGCACATTTAAGATCCAGTATCCGCATTTGAGGGAAGATCATTTCCCATTCTACATTTCAAACCAACCAGTACTTGAAACTAGGGGTGGGCACTTCGGTTATTTTATCGGTTCGGTTCGATTTGGTTAATATAGTCCTAGAATTTTTCCAACTGAAGTACACCATAATTAATTTGGTTTGAATTAGTTTTGGTTCGGTTTGTATTCGGTTTGGTTTGTATTCGGTTTGGTTTATATTCGGTTTAATCGGGTTTTTTAGTTGAGGTCTTTTAACATAAATCATAATTTAAAACATAAATGGTGGTGATTATGAAAAAAATAAACTATGTAAACTAAATCTAATATAACAACTGAAACAAAAACCGCTAAAACACAAAAAAATTATAAGAAAAAAGTAGAAAAAATTACTAATAATACCTACTAAAAATAAACTATGCAAATTAAATTCAATATAAAACTGAAACAAAAACTTAATAAATTTATATTCAATTTAAAAAAAAACGCAATCAAATCAAAGTTAATTAAAGTAAATTGAAAATCAGAAAACAACATCGTTAATAAAGTTAATAGTGACTTTAATTTTAGGATTTTAGTATATTATATATTGCTAATATGTTTAATTTCAATATTAATAAAAACCATTAATTTCTCGTTTCGATTTTATCTTGGTTCGGTTTTAACTCGGATCGATTTCGGTTCGGTTGGTTCGGATTGGGAAAATTTTAAACCAAACTATTTTATAATAAACTTGTTTTGGTTTGGAACGGTTTCTGTTTGGTTGGTTTGGTTTGACTCGGTTTGGTTCGGTTTTTTTGTCCACCCAGACTTGAAACTATCAGTTACTATTTACTAAATGGATTGGATAAAAGTTGGCAATATCAATTCCTTGCATTGTTGTTATGTTTTATTTTGTTTAACCATTATTATTATGTTTTCTTTTTTGATATCGCCTGTTGAATTTTATTGCATTATTGTTTTATGTTGTCACATGTTTGTTTATCTTTACTGGAATGTTTGGATTTATGAGTTTGTTTTCATATTGGTTAGAGGATTTCACATAAAGTTATGGTAATTCTTTTTAGATAAAAAATTGTGATGTATTATTTGTGCGTTTTATATCTGATACAAAAATTAAAACGATTTCAGCTTGTACTTTTATGTGATATAAAGTAAATATATTTTTATTTTCTCACCATATGTATTGTTCTGTTTTTCCAAAGTAACAAGTGGAAGCTCCTTTCAAGCTTGCTATTTGTGATACTGGTGTGTCAACTCTTTTGCCATGGAATCACGTTTACGTGTGTATGGTGTACACTGCCATGTATCTAGTGGCTAACTATACTTGCTGGGGAAATATAATGAAGGTAATTTTCTTTGTCCGATTTAGTTATGTGAAGTTATGAACTTATGATATTATAATCTTTGTTGTTGTAAAATTCAGATGATCTTCGCGTTCTTTTTCTACAAACTTGTAATGACAAACTGTGTCTTTACCACTGGTAATTTTTAACTTTTAGTATATTATGTTTTGTTTTGTTTAACATTAGTGTTACTGTTTTTTTCCTTGATAACAATTGTTGAATTTTATTTCAGCATTGTCTTTAGCCGCCACACTTGTGCTCATCTTTGTTGCTGTCTTTGAATTTGTACGTCGTTTCCAGATGGTTCCGAAGCTTTTCAGATAAACTGTTATGTCTTTGCACTTTTATTAAATCGGTATCGTTTTCTATACAAAGAACAATGATGCATTTATTTGATCTGATATTAAGTTGCTTAAATGCTTTTTTCGAACTTCGGTATATTCCATTAATAAATGAGAAAACACTTAAAACATGGTTTATCATATTCTGCAATCCAACCAATTCTGTCCATTGGATTTAAGTTACTGTTATCAGGCAAAACATATGAGAAATATCTATTGTTGTAAATACCTCAAAGAAGGTGTTTTCCAACAAATAGTGAACTAGTGATAAAAAGTATAAACCAGATATAAATTAAAATGCATAAGTACTCAAAAATAAAGAACACAAATTAAATTTTGAAAGCACAAAAGTTAGGTGATATTTGTCGAAATAAAAGTTTGAGTTATATGTTTTATTCGAAAAAATAGAAAGCTAGTAGATAATTGTATTTTGCAGAATGACCGACATAAACCCAAAAATAAACCACAAATTCTATATTTTCTGATAAAAAGAATTCATATATATATATATATATATATATTTTTTTTTTTTTTTTTTTGTGTCAAAAGAGCATTTGTTTTCTTGACCAAAAATCGCCAAACCTCTTGTATTCCAAGAAAAGAAAGAATAGTGTATGTATTCCAAGAAAAGAAAGAATAATATATGTTTTAATTTTTAAAAAAAGTCGGGGCTTTGGTCCAAAATGGACACTTCCTAAAAGACGCCAAAAGCATATGCTAATATTATATATAATATGATTAATCGGTCACCGTTTGCGTCTTTCAAACACACAAAACATATGTAGAAAAACTTCTGAAACAGAGCCATCAATAAATACTACTTCTCTGTTTTTCAACATTGAAGATTGAAGAAAGGATAATGATGTTACCAGAAGCATGTGTGGCGAACATCCTCTCCTTCACAACTCCTGCGGATATATTCTCTTCGGCCTCTGTCTCCTCTGTTTTCCGCGTAGCCGGAGACTCAGATTTTGTCTGGGAGAAGTTTCTACCATCCGAGTACAACCGCATCATCTCTAGCTCGACTCATCAGAGCTTCTCCTCCAAAAAGGAGCTCTATCGTTGTCTCTGTGAATCAGTTATCATCGATAATGGCAGAAAGGTTCATCAATCATCCCCCTAAATACAATAATATTACGTTCTTTGTATTTACTATCTTAGTTATGTTTCAATGTTCAGATATTCAAGATCGAGAAGCTAACTGGGAAGATAACGTATGTTTTGTCCGCAAGAGATCTTTCCATAACTTGGAGCGATCAACGACACTACTGGTCTTGGAGCCATCGATCAGATTCAAGGTCAACTTAAAATTTTTAATATCTATACTATTATTTGCGAAGTGATTTTTCGCAATGAAACTCTACACGTGGTTAATATCGTTTATACCCTAAAAATAATATATAAATTACATACACAATAAAACGAATTTAAATTATTTGGAAGTGATTTTTCGCAATGAAGCTCTACACGTGGTTAATATCGTTTATACCCTATAAAAATAATATATAAATTACATACACAATAAAACGAATTTAAATTATTTGAAGTAGATAAATAACTAAAATTAATAATAATCATAAAGATTATCCAAAATCTAAATAATATTTTTTCAAATAAGATAATTTCGATATATATATTGTGATGTTATCTAGAAATATATTTTGATAAAAAAATTAACAATTAAAATAATAGAAAATACATAACTAAATATTAATCAAATCAACTTCTTAATTTTATATAATTGAAAAAATATTATTTGATTTTAAAAGTATTTTTAATAGTGAACATAAATTTTAAAGAAATATATGTAAGAATTGTTAAATGAAATTATAAATATTATTGGTTTAAACACAATTAATATTTTATCATTACAATCTTTAAAATAGTTAAAGATGTAGTAATAAAATAATTATAAAATATTTAGGCTCGTAAATGCGGGCAAAACACCTAGTTAATAAGTAAATTGTATGGTTGGTGTAAAACGTGTTTTTAAAAAAAAAAACCTAACTTCGAAAAAAAAATCATATTAGATTTTCGGAAGGGGCCAGGCTTATAATGACGGATTGGTTAGAAATCAAAGGAAAAATCCAAACAGGAGTTTTGTCTCCGAGCACGAGCTACCGAGCTTATCTGATTATGAAAGTGACGGAACGAGCATATGGACTAGACTTGGTTCCGGCCGAGACTTGGATAAAAGTGGGAAATGGTGAGAAGAATATAAAGGCAAGTTACTTAAGTTGCTTGGATAACAAGAAACATCAAATCGCAAAGAAGGACGAGATTACCCGATCTCATCGTAGAGAGCCGGAGATGAGAGAAGATGGGTGGATGGAGATAGAGCTGGGAGAGTTCGAGACAGGACGAGTAGGTGAAGCGGAAGAGGAGGTTGTGATGAGTCTAACGGAAGTGAAAGGGTATCAGTTGAAGGGTGGGATTGTAATTAATGGGATTGAAGTCAGACCTAAACTTCAAAAGTGAGCTGCTAAACTAAAAGATGAGTGGTAAATCGTTGGGTTAAGTTGATAATTATGTTTAGTTTTTTGGTGGAAAAATTGTACGAATGAGAAAATTAATGTGTTGACAAGTGGTGGCAACACTTGAGAAGCCAAAAAACGTGTTGGCAAGTCGTTATCACTGAAGATTCTTTCATTATTTAGTTAGAGATTTTAGAAGACTTTGTCACATCCGACAAAATAAAGAAAGAACAAAACCCCTATGGGATTGTCAAATTAATCATTTAGTTAGCAGCCCAGCAATCACATGGGAAATTATCGTAACATAAAATTCTTTTCGATGACATGTTTGGTTCGCATGGCAGATAATTGTAAAAATAGGCAGCCGACGAAGTGAGCATATGTAGGTTTAACCACACGCGCCCTTTAAGAATGTTTGCTGTCACAAAATCTCTTGCAAGTGGCGTTACTTTGGTAAATATAGAAAAATGTTGTCATGATACTACTGTGCAAGCATATGGTACTATTATACATCTAATAACTAATTAGTATGCACATTATATTCCTAATCATGTGTCATCATAATACATGTACTGTCTCTTCAATAACTTTGACATGCTTCAATCATGCTTATTTTGAAACAGTTACGATTAGTGATCGTATGTTCAAAGGTGTAATTATAGGCATGATTGTACGGAACTAGCAAAAATAATTAGAAGCTGTATTAGCCTTAGCTAAGGTTGATGTCCTCTCATAAAACAAAACATCAAATATTTGAGAACAGATGCTAAGGTTGAGATCCGAACAAACGCTCCATAAGTTTAGAAACACATAAAATGAGACAATATTATATCTTTTCCCACGGTGATTCACATGATATGCGACTTCAATCAAGCCGTTCCATCTGCAGACCATATCAAACAAACATGTAATACAAGTTTTATAACTTTTGCTTTGTGTCTGTTCTTCAGAAACCGATTAAACACCGTCTTATAAAATCCTTTAAATGAGCCGATGCAAGTGGAAATTAGTACTAGTACCTTCCAGAGACCGTCGTTGAGGTAATGCATGTTGTCCACTCCGATTCCCTTGTTGATGCTCTTACTGTCAACAACACACAAGAAAACCAAATAAGGAATGTCACAACACAGCATAGACCGAGTAAGAAAACACTACTACTAAACTAGCATCAACAGAGACCAAATCATGATCCTACATTCCAGTTGTGATTTTGAATAAGGCACTGAGTGAGGAAGAAAATTAACTTACATGTCCTTGGCTGACATTTTGGTGAAGCCTATTGCCAAGGCATGTTGCTTTCCTTCTGCATATATAGCCTAAACATAATACAAACTCACGGTTTAAAATCAACATAAACAAAAGATAAAGAGTTTATTTTGGTGTGTGTGTGTGTTCATACCACTGGCCTTTCTGCCTCAACTTCTTCATCCAGAACACCTCCAGGGGATGTGAGACCAGGACACATTATGTTTGCACCAGAGAAAACAAACTTTATGGCACCTCTATCAACTTGAAATCTCTTCATTATATTTGGGTCTGCAAAACTCCAAAACATTCAAGTGCCACATTGACATTCTCGGCTCAAGTCTCTTTCTATTGATTTCTATGTGAATATTACAGGGACGCAGTGTATTCAAGAACATAGCTTAATCTTCCGGTAACAGCCAATGCCAAAACCTTCGCACTATGATAAGGTAAAGAGTGAGCTTACATTGATGAAGAAGCCGCAGAGTTGGCATGTATGGACCATCACGGATACAGAAAAAGAGGGGGACATTGTTGACAACAACAAGGGTCAGATGGTTTGGGCTGCACGAGAGATACAGTCAATAATACTGCAAGTGGCGAAAGAAAGTTTATAAAACACAGCAGTGATATATGACGTTTTTAATGTTTACGAACCACTTCACAACAATGAGAGGAGACTTTTTGGGAAGTAGATCCTCCAGCACTGTTTCAAGTCCCGGGTACTGCAACATTACATTTAACATCTTTATATCCAACAAGCTACACATAATCATAAGAAGTTTTAAGATGGGATAAAAGACAGATAGTATAACAAGTATACCTCTTCTTGAATACTCTGTCGAATCCTACGTTGAACAGAAGCCTTTACTTGGTTTTGCGATGAAATCTCCTCCAATGAAAACCTAAAGTTAAAAATAGTTAACATTAATAACACTTTTGTAGAGATAATGGTATGGCAAAGAGATGTAAAGGCCTTCCTAAGTAAAAGACTCATAAAAAAAAAGAAGACCACTCAAACTTGACTGCAGTAGAGAAAAGGACCTTATACAAAGACTCAATAGGAAGGTGTAATCATGCTTTGGGAGATGGATAGGTGATAGGATCAACCAATAAAGACCCAATCTCATTGAATTTGAAACCAAACACCATCTATAAAGACTAACAACTTCAAGATATTTGCTTCCCGGAAAGCACAATCTTCAACCTTGAAGAAAATATAACAACCAACCGATTGGAAGGGTTGAGATAGGTGTTTCTTTATTAAATCTTGTTTGGTCTATTCTCTCTTGTTTAGAAAATTAGAAAGGTCACACATGGTTGTAACAAGGATTTTTTCTTTTGAGTTAAATTTAACATTCAGTTCAAAAAAAAAAAAAAAGGCTATTCTAAGCAATTGTATCAGAAGCCTACGTACAAACAATGTTGTCTACAAGTAAATACTAGCAAATAACTGAACAAAGCATCCACATTACAATCACAATGTAAAATGGCTAGCTACAGTAAAGCTAATTACAGAAGAGAGATTCTTACTTCTTGAACATGTTGGATGATTAAAGGTGATTACTTTTGGTAAGTTTACGAGATTGGTTGATGCAGCTGAAAGTAACCTGTAAAGTGAACAATGAAAGAAGTTGATGATGACGAAGATTGTCCGAGCATAACTCTAACAAGTAATCGGACAATATATATCAAAACTGTATTCGAATCCGAGCAGAACAGAGGATCAGAAACTTACCGAGTGAGAAAGAGAGCGATTGAATGCGTTTCGGAGCCGAGAGAATGTTTCTCTCTCGTGAAATTCCGATCTAGTGTTTCCTCTTTTCTACCAAAACGACTGTGTTTTCAAGATAACCTAGGAAACGAAGCTGGTCCGAATCCGACGAAATTTCTGGGCCTTTTGGGTTTTTAATGGGCTTATTAAAACAATCTCCTATCTTTTGTAAAGTAATTTTTAAACGAACGGCTGAGAGAGAATTGAATGTAGGATACGACTTTACACGTGTCCGCAGAAGACCAAATCAACTTACGTTTAAAAACACGCTTCTGGTAGTTGTCTAGTTTCCACTTTCCAGAACAATCTAACGCTTTCTCGCACCTCCTCCTCCTCTTGTCTCTCCCTGAAGCAAACAAATGTGAGTTTCGAATATAGTTTTCTATTTAATTTCTAAATTTTTATTATTGTTTTTTCGTAAAATTGTTGTATATGATGTCACAGATGAGTAGCAGCAAATGGAATCGTACGATCTACGTTGGGAACTTGCCTGGTGATATTCGCATGCGAGAGGTTGAAGATCTCTTCTACAAGGTTTATCATCTTCTCTCTGTTTCTATATTCAAATTCATTCGGATCTCAAAGTACTCTCAGTAACAGTGTATCCTCGTTGTAGTATGGACCCATTGTGGATATTGATTTGAAGATTCCTCCGAGACCTCCTGGTTATGCATTTGTCGAGGTATTTTTTATGATTCTCTCTTGCTAATGTGAGCTTAGAGGATCTGTTTTTTTTTTTTTTTTAATATAATCTTGTTAATGACTTTGTGACTAAAGAGTATGTTATTGATGCAGTTTGAAGATCCTCGTGATGCAGATGATGCTATTTATGGACGAGATGGGTATGATTTTGATGGGTGTCGACTTCGGGTTAGTTATTAACATCCTTTTTTTTTTCTTCCATGTTCTTATGAAGGTGTTATATTTCATTTGTGTGATCTTATGAAGATGCTAAACTTTGTTGTGTGTGATGTATAGGTTGAGATTGCACATGGGGGTCGTAGAGGTTCATCATCGGTGGATAGGTACAGCAGTAGCTACAGTGGGAGCCGTGCACCTTCTAGACGATCCGACTATCGTGGTTTGTATATTCTTCTTTTTTTGTGTTTACTACATTATTGTATAGATTTGTCATTTTGGAAAACTCAATTTACTTTGTAAATATACAGTGCTTGTCACGGGATTGCCGCCATCTGCTTCCTGGCAGGATCTTAAGGTAGGTGTTTTCATGTTATGTGTGTTTCTGGATTTTGATTCTTTAGTTCATGTTGTATTTACATGAACTGATGGTATTTGATATATGTATGGGGGATTAAGGATCACATGCGCAAAGCTGGAGATGTTACCTTTTCTGAAGTTTTTCGCGACCGTGGAGGTGAGTCAACATTCTCTTGTCTAAAGAAGCTTCTCGTAGATATATTAATATTAGTAACTTAAATGTTTGCGAAATAGAGTAACCTAAGTCATCATTCAGGTGTATTGTTGTTTCTTACTTATCAGACCTGCAAGACTCTCTTTTAACATGTTTTTATTCTGTGCTAGGCATGTCTGGGGTTGTGGATTATAGCAACTATGATGATATGAAGTACGCGGTAAGTTTGTATCTTTGCAATGACAGTGTTCTGGGCCTCCTGCGTTAAGATAGTGGCATTATTATTTTTTTTGCTTCGAATTTATCTTCGTTGAGGCCAGTGTATCAGTTCTGTGATACTCCCTTAAATTGTTTTTGTAACAGATAAGGAAGCTCGATGACTCTGAGTTTCGAAATGCTTTCTCCAGAGCTTATATACGGGTATGTATGTTGTGTTGCCTTGTTTGATTTTGTTAATGAATAGATGGGATATACAGTCATCTCTAATTTCACTGTTCAGGTGAGAGAATACGAGTCAAGGAGTGTGAGTCGCAGCCCATACTATTCAAGAAGCTACAGAAGCAGGAGTCGAAGCCGTAGTAGAAGCTATAGCTATAGTAGCAGAAGGTCAGTCTTACCCTTTTCCATGAAAGTAAAGCTAAATACTGCGACTTATTTATCAGTATTGACTGACTTCACAATGCCAATGCAGTGTGTCGCCTGCTAGATCTGTTCGTTCTCGAACTCCTCTTTCTCGTTCTCCAACGCCCTATAGCTCAGTCTCAAGGTATGGCTATTTCATTTATACCATTATTACAGTTTGTATCTTTCAATGCATGAGGTGTTAGTTTTCTTGCATTTTGGATTCACTTGACCACTTACAACAAAGTAACTTCTTTGTTTTAATTTTTTGACCCTCTTCTCCCGCCTAGTTATATGTTTGGTGGGACTAGTCTTCCCATTAACTATATTACCTGATGATTAACCTATTTTGAAGTTTCCTATTCACATAAACTATGGTATGGAGGGAATTTGCTTCATCTCTTGGGTTCCAGAGTTCCACTTCAGTTCTTACAACTCTCACTTTCTTTTTGGATGTTTCAAATTCTTGAGAGAGCTTCTCCCGTGATTTCTAACCAAATGTCATGTTGCAGTCAGCCATTAGTCTAATTCTGTTTTCTGGAATGATCTCGTGTGTCTTTTCTCTTCTTTTAGATGTTTTCCTTCAGAAATAGCTTTACTTCTCAGCTTTGCTAAGTAACAGTGAATTTAAAACTGGATCTACTCTACCTTATCTGAATCCGTCTGTTTAATAATTTTGTGGGAACTCAGCTATAGGTTCTCTTTTGTGAAAATTTGTTTACCAACGGAAGGGCAAAGCTATGAATCTGGCTTCTGAAACTCTGTCCTTGATAATATACTGTGATATCAATTGCATTGCCTTGTTTGTTTTCTAGATCTGGCTCACTGCGGCGAGCTGGGGACTGGATCTTAGGGACTTGATGGGTCATGTAGATGGATCCTAGGACTCACCGCGTATCAGAGCTCGCAACATTTGGACTATGAGTCCTCTGTTCCCTAACGTTTCTCTTTGTTGTCCATGCTAGAATCTATGTTTAGTTCATTTCTAAGGCAACTACACTTAAAATCTCGAGATCAGATTGAAGATGCTCAGTAAAAAAAAATTGCTTTGTCACGATGCCGCACTTACAAGTTTTTTTTTTGCTTTTTTGTCTTACTGCAGGTCCCGGTCAAGATCGAGATCAAAGTCTCCAGTTTCACCAGTAAGTTCAAATACAGATAAACCTTGCTTGAATTATTAGCTGCTCTCATTATCAATTTACATACAACCAAATGATCAGAAAAATGATAAGAAAGGCCAGAGAAATGAGTGTTTACATTTTTATCATCATCATGTCTTCTTCACGTGACACTACGACATATTTTGTTTTGAAGGTGAGGTCTGACTGAAAAGGAGAACTGGTGACCGGGAGTAGAGGACCGCCGTATCCAAAGTGACACATGCTTCTCATGGTCCACTCGTAGTATTATAATAATTTGATTTGGATTTGAGTTATACCTCGAATGAACGGATTAATAATATGTCTTGCTATTCTGAAACTTTTAGTTGGTCTGTTTTTGTGTCATTTTGCAATGAACCGAACCTCTAAACGTTTGTATCGTTTATTTAGCGTTTGATAATCTTAAATATAAACGCCTACAAGGCTAGAAGCCTATAACTACAAGTACAACATGTCTCATTCAAAGATAATCCACTATTTTCTCGAGCTTCCGTGCTCAGGAGGAGCTCTTTCACCATGGCGTCTTGCTTACAAGCAGCATCCATGAACTCTCTGATTCTACGCTCCTCTTACTCTTTCTCTTCTCTGTCTTTGAATTCACCCGATAGAAAAAACTTGAAGAGCTTTTGCTACACGTTTCGCGCCAAAGCCGCTGCCAAAATCCCTATGCCTCCAATAAACCCTAACGATCATTTCCTCTCGACTCTTGCTTCCGTTGCCGCTCAATCTCCGGAGAAGCTTTTCAACCGCCCTGTTAACTCCGATACGCTTCCGTATCTCGACATTTGGACACAATCTTGTCCCATGAGTAATTATGCTCAGAACATTAACCTTGAGTTGAAGAACTGAGTTTCATTGCATCTTTCACGTTCCTGGTTGTAAGTGCAGGTTATAACAAACAGGGATATATTTGTGGAACTGCTCTCAAAGCACACTGGGAATGTAAGTGGAAAACATTTCTTTCGCTAGGTAACTTTGATTGGAGATTTTTCGTTTTGGCTTGTTAAAATTTTTGTTATAATTGATATTCAGTCCGTGGAGACTGTGGCTAACGTGATGAGAAGGCCATATTACATGGATGCACCAAAAGCTAAAGAATTTGGAGTCATTGACAAGGTAAATCTAGGCGCTGTGAAGTACCCCCCACGTTTTTGTACTTGATTGTTGGCACATATTTCTTCAATTTGGGACTTTATCTTTAGGAATTTGCTTCATCCTCGTTCCCTTAGAGTTTAGAGTTTATCAAATATATATGAGTTTTTGGGTGAAAATTTCAAAGTTTCCAGTGGGATTGTCTACTAGTTCTTGATTATTAGTCTTTGTTACTTGAGAAGATTTTATCATTTGGGTTTTTTTTTCTTCATACCCTGTTAGACTGACACAAATGTTTGCAACCTTTTTAACCAGATTCTTTGGCGTGGTCAAGAAAAGATTATTGCGGACATTGTTCCTTCAGAGGATTTCGACAAGAACACTGTGATTAGAAGCGCAGAACGAGTTTAGTTTGAAGTTCTCTGGCCTCAAATCTATGTAAGTGACACGCTCAGCTCTCATTCGCTACTTTGAGGTATGAATATTTCAAGAACAGGAAAATATTACTTGGCGAGGCATGAGTAGCTAGCTAAATTCAGTCACGGCTTACCTAACAACCGGTTATGCTGTTAAGAGGACAAGCAGAAGAAGTTAGCATCGTGATCACTCTATGACATTGTTTGCTTTCTCAACCCCTATATTTTGCAGGTTCCGATGGAGAACAACACTAAGTAGAATTACAGACCTTGGCTGCGACGGCCATGTTTCAAACTACTTGGTAAATGTCAATCATGCGATTAGGAGATTCATAAAAATATGTGATAAAGTTGTACTGTGTTTCAAAATCCAAAGTAAATACAATGATGAACTCTCTTCTTTTCCTTCACCGTTTTCAACTTTAAGACAAATTCAAACTGCTCTCTGTCAGGTTTTTAAGACTTGCATTTGAATACATTAATTTAAAACTAAATCGGCCCTGCGGCATGTGATTACATTCTTGATTATAAAAGTTGAGCTCTTGAGCATGTAACTATTATGGGAGATGTAAGCCCCAATACGCGTCAAGATTATCCTGCAAAGAAGACTAGTGGAAGCATATTTTTGGTTTATCTTAGCTGAGTCGAATCAAGCTAAAAATCTACTCATACAACAGCATAAAATTCATAAATAAGAACATTAAAAAAGCTCCGATGCCGGGAATCGAACCCGGGTCTCCTGGGTGAAAGCCAGATATCCTAACCGCTGGACGACATCGGATGAGATGTTAACTTCTACTTCAAAACCTATTTATCCGCTTTCAGGATTAAAGTAGTTCCTAAGGATTGACTCAGTGTGCTATTTCTTCTGAAGACTCCTCCCTTGACATTTGAACTCAGACTGCTTGGATTTGTAGTTGGCTATTTCATTATTTTGTGTTACTGTTCTCTTTTTAAGGTCGATGGACATGTAAACGTGTTAGGAGTTAAAGAATGTGTAGAATAGATTTTGAGAGAGTATTTTTCGTGTTACGCATATTGACAAATGAGATGTGCCAGATCTTTACTAGTGAAAATTTGATTATCAACAAAGATCAACCATGTTTTCGTAAGGAGAATGCCAAGAAAACTAAACACATAAAAACAAGAAGATAGAACTTGTTAATCTCTCACAGGATCCCCCAAGAGAAACATAGAACCAGTTGCCTGAGAAACTGAAAACGTTAATCACAACATAAAGAGATAGCACAAACAGAAACTCAGAAATCAAAGTCGCCACCCATATCCGCAATATCACCAATAGCTTCACCAACAAGCAACCCACCCAATAACCCAGCTCCAAGTCCAAGTCCTAGACCCATTCCACCTCCTCCGTGCTTCTTCGGTTTCTGCGGTTTCCCACCATAACCTTGCTGTTGCGGGTAACCATACGGACCCTGCGGCGGATATCCATAGCCTCCTGGACCCTGTGGTGGATACCCATAACCTGGACCCTGTGGTGGATAACCCGGGTAGCCTCCTTGCAGTGGAGGCGGGTATGCACCAGGTGGCGGATATCCACTAGGACCAGCTGGTGGATAACCGCTGGCTGGCGGGTAACCATAAACACCACCCTGCTTATCATCATGTCCTGGTGGTGGATAAGGACCCGGTGGGTATGCAACCGGGGCTCCTTGTCCGGGCGGGTAAGCCGTAACGGGCTGATCCATAGACTTACGCTCCATAGCCAACGGTCCAGGCGCGTGAGGAGCATTTCCGAAAGTATACTTCTCACCAAACTTGAAAGAAAATTTGAGAGACCCTTTCGCCTTTCCGTTAGGCAGCTTCACAGCGTACGTCACTGTCTTCTCCTCCTCGTCGTCTCCAGTCTTGTTCTGATCCAAAAGCTCCTTAACTGGAACGCTAACCTCTCCCACGGGTTTATCGCCAGCGATGGGACGATCAGCAACGATCTCGATGACAAGGGTGAGACGATTCTCGCGTGCCGCGGAGTCGTCGACGGTGAGCTTCATCTGGTGTCTCCATTTGGGTTTGGTCCCGCAATCTTTGTCGACTTTTGTTTTCTGGTTTGTCCTAGCGTCGCGGTTGATTGAAACGACGGCGTATAAGTCTTGTTTGCCGATTAGTTGGATGTCTTTGAGATCTTCGGCGGATATAATCGTCAGATCCAACGGTCTACACTCCATTATGATTCAAAAGAAAAGAACGCTTTAAATTTTAGGGGAATGAGAGAAAGCTTTTTGTGAGAGAATGAAAAGTTGTAAGGGTGATGATGATGCGTATATATAGGCGTTTATGTTGGAGTCGGTTTAAAGAAGAAGAAAGGGTTTAACATATACGCGGGACTGAAACGTGTCGGACAAATGACGCGGTTAAGTTTAGTTTTCCCCTTTATCCTATCGTAAAAAGTTAATATTTTTTTTTTTTGGCAACAAAAAGTTAATGTTATTAGTTAGAATTTTTAACATAAAAACCCCTCAACTAAGTTTGTTTTGGATAAAAACCCCTAAACTAAATATTTAATGAAAAAACCTCCAAACTACATTTATTTAGTGAATTAAATCCTCGTCAGTCATAATTACCAGTGTTACCGGTAAATTTTTAGTTTAGGAGTTTTATCATTAAACATAAAAAATAAAAATAAAATTAAAAAATCAAAATATAATAACATTATCTAAAAATTCGTAATTTTAATTTTCAAAACTAGCATTTTACAATTTTTTTGTAAATATAAGCGTGATTTCTTATCCTTGTAAAATGGATTTTTAACTCTAAAATACATTAACTACGTTTTTTGGGTAAAACTACTAACAAGTAAACCCCCATATTAAAGATAGTTGAAGGGTTTTTATCGTTAAAAATCTAAAAAAAAATTATAACATTATCTAAAAATTAGTAACTTAAATTTTTAAAATTAGCATTTTTCAAACTTTCTGTAAATCTATGAGTTTGATTTGTTTTAACATCAACATTATATATATATATATATAGATTAAAATTTTAAAACACAAAAATATAATAAAAATCATCTAAAGATTTATTATTACATTTTTTATTAAATAAAATATAATTTTTATTCTGTTTTCTTGTTTTTATATTTATAACTTTTGATAATTTTTATTACACGTAAATCTTTAGATAATCTTTGTTATATTTTCTTGGTTTTTACATTTTAAATTTATACATATATAATTTTGATTTTAAAAAGATAACAAATCAGACTCATATAGTTACAGAATGTTATTTTTTAAATGCAAGTTTTGAAAATTAAAATTACGAATTTTTAGATAATTTTATTATATTTTGAATTATATTGATTTTTATGTTTAATGATAAAACCTCTAAACTGAAGATTTACCGGTAGTACATGTAATTATGACCGGTGAGGGTTTAATTCACTAAATAAAGTTAGTTTAGGAGTTTTTTCATTAAATACTTAGTTTAGGGGTTTTTACCTAAAACAAACTTATGTTAAAATTCATATTAGTTATTGCTGTTAATTAGTTTAGTAATAACAAAATAATTAGTTTGGTAAATATTACTCTTTCTATGTTTAAATAAGTATCATTCTGCCATTTTCTTTTGTTTCAAAATCACTTTACATTTTAATGCAATTTTTATACATAACCTATTTCTTATCATTTTAACTAACTAATAGATGTTTTTGAAATCATTTTTATTCAATTGTATATTAATTAATTTATATTTGTATATTTATTCATTTTTTTTAATTTATGTGAAATATGCCTAACTAATTTATATTGAAATGGAGAGAACATAATTTTGGGTTATTAAGCCCAATTTCCCTAATTTAAATTTTACTTATGAAGATTAATGTTATCGCTGTTAATACTATTTTACTGGCCAATTTGCTAATACAAACCTTATTTTAGTATTTTACTGGCCAGATAGCAGATTTCACTATTTAGAAAGGCAAAAAAAAAAACAAGATAATAAAAACTAGAGGGAAGAAAATAACCTTTTATTTTATTTAGATTATTTTTAAAATAAAAGGTTATTTTATTTTTATGTTTAAATAACCTTGGTTTTTATGTTAAAAATCCTAACTAATAACATTAACTTTTTGTTGCCAAAAAAAAAAAAACATTTAACTTTTTACGATAGGATAAAAAGAAGAAAATAACCTTGGATACGTTGTGTACCGTTGTCACATTTGACCCAACAAAAATGAAGAACAAAGAAGAGTATGGAAATAAAACCCTTAAAAAAATCTTTACTTCTATACATTTATTCTATAACAAAGCCAGTCCTCTCCCAGCCAGCACCCAAACTCTTAAGACTTTTAAGCCTCTGAAGCTCTACGCTTTAATGAAAGCTTTAAGATAATCGGTGGAAGTCTAGGATGTTCAGTTAGCACCGGCTTTGAATCATGTCTTCGATCCAGAGGAGGCTTGCTCTCAGTTTTGGCTCCATTAAGAATAAAGCTAGGCTTTGTATCCTCTATTTGATCCAAGGGGCTGTTACTTGCTGTTGCTTTGCTCCTTCCATCTTCTCCTCTTTGCTCCATATCTGCAATCCCATTGTCTGGCAAAAGCTGTGCTCTGGCACTCGCTTTAGCTGAGTGCTTTCTCTTCGAAGATCTTTCACGTTTTCTTGGCTTAACCGTGCTTTCCGTTCCATTGTTAGTGAGAAAACCAGATTCAAGAGCTTCCAGAGCTCTGGTGGTCAGTGGTCGCTTTCTTGTGCTATGTCTTCTAGGAGCATCTGTATTATTAGCCTGCTGGTCGTGATGTTGCTGTTGTGATGAACCAAATTCGTGAGTGTTTCCCAGATCATTGGAAGGAGAACTTTTGATGTTTGCGTCTGTAATGGAAGGGAGCTCAACTGCTTGTTCTTGTTCCGGATAATTGGAAGGAGAAATATTGATGTTTGCGCCTGTAATAGAAGGGAGCTTAACTACTGGCCCTTGGTCATTGTAAGCGCATCTTTCCTCTGAGCCGGACACTGAACATGCCCCCTTTGAGTCTTGTTCTGATGCAATGAGCTCATGGCTTGTTCTTACCTCTTCTGTAGAACAGTTATTGTCTACACCAGAGATCAAACTTAACCCATTTGGTTTGCTCTCTGACATTATTTCTTGGGTCTCAACAACCGCAGCAGACGGTTCAGTTCTAGTCTTTTTTGATTGATCAACTGATAACAAGGTTTCATATCTCTCTTTGTCCTCATTCATCTCTTCATGAGTGCTGTTTTGGTGTTGGACCGCACATAAACTTAGGTGCTCTGAGTCAGGACATACCATCCTTAAATGGTCTGATTCAGAAATTTCTGTTGAAAGGCTTTTCTCCTTCTTTATACAAGCACTAAGCCGTCTGCGTTTCAAAGATGGAGCAGATTTTACTGAATGATGGTTAGTTTCTGCTGGCCGGGTAGACTTATGCTTGATCAACCTCTTTGATGGATCCTTCACCCTCTCCAAACTCTCTTCCTCTTTTATGCTAGAATCATCCTTGTTTGTGCCATCACTTGGTAAACGTTTCCATCTCCTTAAACCAGACCACTTTTTACGGTGGTCTAGACTCGAATCAATAATAACGAATCGCATTGGAGCATCCAGAGGCATCACTTGGGGCATTTCCACATTGTCTCCTAAACCAGTCTTTGGCTCAGAGACTATAGTTTCTGCTTTCAGATTCCGTAAATCACACAGTTTTCCTCCAGCAGCCAAACTAGTGTCAACAACAGTGAATGTCATTTGCGAATTTCCACGGTTAGAGCATGGAGACTTGAGGTAACGGTGTCTTTGACTATCAGACTTGGAAGACACTTCATCTGATTGGTCAGAAGAGTTCTCTGCAACAACACTCACTCCTCCTGCTTCAAACTCAAGAAGCTCAGGCTCCGAAGCAACTTTTGTTAGAATGTCACTAACGGAATCAAAGTAATGATCGCCTTTGACAAGATCCCCTCTCGAGAACCGTTTCACGCCAGGGACAATAAAAACAATGTTATCCTTAGATGTATTATAGCTTCTGTCATTTGGCTGCTCTGAGTGCCATCCTCTGGCTAGCAAACGCGGCCATACAGCTTCCCAGAAGATATCACTGCAACGAGCTTTGCTTAGACGTGAACTGCCTTTTAACTGAGTTATTATATCAGCAGATGTGAGTGAAGTGTAAGCCCTTAAGCCCGGTACCGAAGAATGTTTTTGAGAAACCGTGAACCATGGTTTGGTGGTCTTAACTGGTACAGCTGTACGAACTGTGAGATCATCTTTTCCTTTACCAATCGCCACCGCATCTACCAGAAGCCTCAGACCCACAAGATCCTTCACAGCGTCTATGTACTTCACCAGAGAGATCTTCCCTTCAGCAAAAGACTTGGAGACCTGCCAATATGGTAAAAATCAATGAGCAGAACATTAAGAATTCATGATTAAGAGGTAAGAAAGACTCACATTCACAAGCATCTGTTTCTGAGTTTCATCAGAAACAGAAGGAATCAAGCGGGACAGCAACTGTTGCTGCCTCCAACCTGAATAGAGCTTTCTTCCGTATACACATTTGCGGCTACGCTTCTTGCGGGAATCAGTCCAGGTGTGGTAACTAGCTGACTTGTAGAACTTGCCAAAGTAAAACAACAGTATCTCTCCTGTTCCTTTGCTCTCCATGAACTTCTTCACCTGAGTAAAGTTCTTCCCAAAGGTATAAAGACCAAGAACAAAGCTAGCAACCTCATGGTCTTCCCAAGAACTGGATGGTATCTCTGGAAGAGCATCAAGATTCAATCTCTGCTTCTTGGGTTTCGGATTCTTGTCACTCTTAGCAGAGCAACGACTTCTTTTTGCTCTAAAAGACTTCAAAGATTGGTTCATGTCAACATCATCATCATCATCATCTCCATTTGCTTGTCCTTTTGGATGTTTGGCTATCCACATTACTTGAACAGGTTGTCCCACGAGAAAGGAAAATGAGGAATCATCCAAAGCTAGAGGAGGAGTTGAAAGAAACACTGCACGTTCGGATGCAGAAAACATAGGAGGAATCTCAACCTGAAACTCGTCTCCAACACGAGGCTCAACTTTTGGATCTCCACAGACAAATTCAGCATCAGAAGAGTCTTCGAGTAGAGCTGTTTCTTCCATAAGATTGTTTTCCTCGTCCATCAGAAGAACCATCAATATTGTCTGCTGCATAAATCCACCAAAAGAAAAGTACATTTTTAAATAATGAATCTTAATCATCGACATAAGACATACAAAAGCGTAAACATATCATTCAAACAGCAAAGAGAAATCAATGGAGGTTTTTCGGCGACATGCAGACACATAGGAGATCTGAAACTCATTAGTCCAAAAGTTTTGTGCCAAAACACTAACACCAAAGATCCAGCCTAGAAATTGAAATTGACAATCAAAGAATGTAAAAAGTAAAAACAAATACATTGTCCAAGAACCAACACAATCAGGAGGGTAAAGTAGAAAGCTTTTAACATATCAGATTCAACAACTTCAGATCGTGAGAGCAAATAGAGAGAGATACGAAAAACTGCAAGCACTTAAAGACACGGAGATTCTAATAAAAACCCAGAAGAAAAGACTTAAGAGAAACACGAGGAGGAGACTGAAAAGATGATAAAAGCTAGTGTTGAATTAAATTGAAACACATACCTAACTAAGATTCTGAGAATCTCAGCTAATCAGACATAAAACCAGACCAGACCTGATCAAAGCAAAAACCACACAACAAGCAAGCAATCGATCCAAAACATCAACAAGTTATATAGCTATAGAGCCATGTAATTGACAACGATCTGAACATACCAACAATGGGTACTACTGTAAGAAAAGCAGCACAAAGTCGAAACCTTTTAAAACGGGCTAACTTATTATGTTATTAAAAAAGGAGGAGAAGGATTCCGCATCTACCTAATCTCCGATTGTTTGGTTTCTAGGCACGAAACAGTAACGTTAGGACACAAGCAAAACCCAGAAAGAGAGAGACAAAAAGGGAACGCGGAACGTGAATTGACAAACACGGCATAAGGGATAGATAGATGGGATTTGATAACCTGACTTTTTTTAAGTTTGAGAGATGTCTCAAAAACTTTTGAGCAATGTTGGAGTTTGTGGGCACTGTGAGATTCTCAAGTCGTTAAGATCGAACAAGTACCGTGTGTTCGGTGAGAGAGAGAGAGAGAAACGAGTACTGAGAGGTCGCTCTTTCAACACCCAAGTCTTCGAGGTGTGAGATGTGCTTTTTTTTTGTGTAGCGTTTTTGGGGATGTGGCTTTTGTGTTAAAACTCTTTTCTTATTCGGTGTGCGAGACTCGACTCACTCGTTCAACTCTCTATGCCGTCAAAAATGTAATGTTGGTGGTATATAATGGTTTACCAATTTTTCCAAAGAACTGGTGATAATGATAATTTATAAATACATTGATTTTACGATAACATATGTCTAAGAATACAGTATGATTAAAGTAATTTTACTAGATAATTCGGGCTTGGAAAAATATGATTTCAGTAAAAATGTTTTTGATGTTATCAATGTTAAGGTTTGGACTATTTAACATATGAAAACTACATTTTGAGATTATATATGATCGGTTAGTAAGGGCTTTTCTTGATATTGCTATATATGAGCTTCTGATTTTGTTATAGAGATAAATGCTTGACAGATCTTCTTTTTAATCTTATGTTAAAATGATTTGATATGACAACATGTAACGCTCTGACCATCCCGTCGTAGAGGGCACGGTTAGTGGCGGCCTTGAGTCGGGCCGTTACACTCAAATACTCAATCCATACATGTATTTCAACATGGTCTACTAATTAGGTCTCTTAAAAAAAAATCTATACTATTAAAACTCAAAGTCTTTTATAAAATGTCTTTCTATTTCAACAGTATTTACAAATCTCTACCACTAGAATATTTTAAAGTTATAGTTTTTATTAAATTTTTATCTCCAAACAAAAAAAATGAGAAAATCTTATTAGGATCCAACTGTCTAGATATTTACAGATATATGCCACTGGAATATTTATAAACTCTAGAATATTTTAAAATTATGGTTTTTATTAAATTTTTTATTTAAACAAAAAAATTGAGAAAATCTTATTAAGATCCAACCGTCCAAATATTTATAGATACATGCCACTGAAATATTTATAAACTATAGTTTTATTTAATGCCTTTTAACTAAATAATAAAACAATTTCATTAAATGTATGTTACTATAATTCTGTTAAAACTGTTCCACTCAGTATAATATAAACTAAAGCATATCCACGTACTAAACTATGTAAACCCACAACACGTAAATCATCATTATATAAACCAAGCTTTGAATGTGGCAACAACTGAACCCACCAAAAGTAAACATAAACTATCATATATACGTATTTAATTAAAAACTAATATTTATTCAAAAGAACGACATCAAACATAGTTTTTGAATTAACCTATATCGATACAATTAAACTGTATATTTTAAAGCATATATTATCAATATATATATCATCAAACATGTTATATGTAGAAAGCATCATATCACATCAAATACTAGCTGTATATCTTAAAACATATATTATTACATATATCATTGAACATGTTATATGTTTAAAATGATTTTTTTAACAAGATAAGAGACAAAAAAATGAAAAACAAAATATTATATTATTGTTATAGATATCAAATGGAAAAAATATTGGGATTTGTTAATATTCGCTTGAATTAAAATAATTTTGGTTAAAAATCTCATGTCAAAAAATAATACAATTTTTAATTATTATTAATGGGAATGAAAAGGAATCAAAATGTCAGGAAATGTTACACCAATAAAATATTTTTGCAAAATCGAAATATGTTAACAATAACAATTTTTCGTTTTTTTCTATAGTAGTGAATCGAATTAGTTATGAACTTACATACAAATCGTGTTCTTAGAAAATATTTTGCGTATTTAACAAACAAAAAAATCTGTAAATATATTATATGGTCTAGAATATTATTCATATATTGAGTTTACTATTTGGCATATCAAAAAACCTAATACCTACGACCAAATCCTATAAATATAGACCAAACCCTATCGACTAACCATCTTAAAACAAAACTTCTTAGTGTGATTCACAAGAGCTGTAGGTTCAAGAAAGATCAAAGGTCGTGAAAACTAAATATACTAATTTTACATAAAAGAATATATTACATAAGCACTCACCTTATCTAACTCTTTTTGTTTAGATATGTAAATGGCGACATCCTCGATACAGGTGAAATCGAAGTCGTGCATTGTTTTGTAAAAGATAAAAAAGAGTGAAATTTATGTTATGGGAGATGATCATGTTTTAGTATTATATGTGTATTTTCTTTATTAGTCTTTAGTTAAACTAACTTCATGTGTATCTAGGCTTTACAGGTTTCTGTAGCATTAGAGATGTTCTTCTCATGGGTGATTTACGAAAAGATATCAAAGGATTAACTTAAGACGAGGTTCCGTATTGGTAATTTCTTAAAGTTTTCTAATGTAAAATAGATTGTGACAATTATAATTTATGACCCAGTATATTTTCATGAAAGAATGTCTTACCTAATTTTAAAAATAATATTTCATTTATATATAAAACAAAATTATCTTGCATAATTCTACTCATAACTTATTAAAAACACAATTCAGGATTAGAAAATTTAACTACACTAAAATATAAAAGATTTAAACATAATCCCACACCATAATATTATTATGAAAGTATAATGAGATATGTAAAATAATTAAAATCTCTTTTTTAGTTATCAAATCAGATTTTTATCTTCTCTTCATTTTTATCTTCTCGATCGCCTTGAAAGCTGTAGGAGCCGAGAGACACCACACATCTTGGTTCTCTCTTTCTCCATTTCTCTCCACTATGAACAGGTCTTCCGTTCCTTCACGCAAGCTCTTTTTCTCTTACATGTTTTTGATTTCTCCACGAATTCGTCTCTCTGTGCCACCATCTTATATAGATTAAATCAGAAAAACCAAATTGTTCGTTCATTGATTCATGCATAGGCATTAAGCAAGATCGTATTATCAGACTCCATAATATGATAGTGGAAGACGAACAAAATGGATACACACAATAGATATATCAAAATTCCAACAAGGAGAAGAAAACGTCACAGTCACATGTAGATCTCACGTATTCTACAGATATACCTACAAATTTCGCCAATATATTGGATGCTCGAATTCAAATTCGTGATAGACAAGTGTATTAACAACTGAAACATGATTTGGTTGAACGTATATGAAAAAATTTGGATGTGATCAAAATATAAACTTTTCGTATTATTTTGAAATCAATGTTTTAAATGTTTTATGTCAAGCATTTTTTAAATTTCTTTCAATGTAATATATTCTAAGTTCTATTCAAAAATAAATTAGAATTATAATTAAATAAAATAAAAATTTTAAAATTTTTAAAGAACACCCCTAATAGGGTTTTACCTTTGAAATAAAGAAAACAAAAATGCTTTAACAAAGTCTTTTAACAAAAATTTAGTAATTAAATATTACGATCCAATGAGATCTTTTTTATTGAACATGCTCTTAAGCCTAGTAACAAGAGGAACACAATCTCACATGTTAGTAGAGACTAAGGGCCTGATTAGTTCTCCCGTCATCACCCACAAACGCAGCTTTTGCGGTTGGTAGCAGTTGTTGACGTTATGCAACAATCACAGAAAACGCTATAAACCGCTTCAAATCACTCTGAATCTCTAAAATTCACAAGCTGGTTTCAGCTAGCGTTTGCGGTTGTGGGTGATTGCAGGAGGATAAAAAATATTTTTTTTCCCAAAAAACTATATAAATATAAAAATAAAATATTCAATTAAAATTTTAAATTAAATAATTGAAATACTGAAATATTTATATTATAAAATTTCTAAAAAATATTTTCTTTAATTTTTCAAAAATTTAATAATGCAGTTTTTTCAATTAAAATTGTATATTAATCATGAAAATATGATTTTAATATTTTGATAATTATATAAATTATATATATTGTTAATTTATTACTTAACCGCTGTTGTATTTGATGATAAACCAGTCATAAGTATCCTGCAAACGCAACAATTTTTAACCGTTGAACCAGTCGTATAAATCTCTTACTAACGTTTAAAACGCAATCTCCCGCATCTGCAAACGCCTGCAACCACAACTGCAATCGCTGCGTTCTAACCAGTCAGGCCCTAAAAAGTTGGATTTATTAGGTAGCAGTGTCGAAAACTTTTAAGTGTGTCAAAATTTGTTACAATTTAAGTTTAATTTATATAAAAGGGGGTACATACACATGGGAAAAAAATATTCCCAAAACCGAGACTAAACTAGAGAAGGAGAGAATAACAAGGATTTAAAATTTCCGGAGAAGGTAAATGACGAATTATGCAGATTGGAAAAAAGACTTACAAAAGATCTTTCAGCATTGTGCAAGGCGTACCGTAAGGAATGGATCTCATAGGGCGGTTCAGGATGATGCAGTCAGACATGAATCTGCATAAGGCAAGTAGAATTGTCGGCTATAATACCTACTATGTAATATTTCTCATAATTTGTAATGCATAATTAACCAAATTTTTTTTAAAAAACAAGGATTCAAAATTAAATTTATTAACCACTTTACTAAAACAATATTTTATCAAACTGTTTTAGCCCTTTTTAATAGGGGCTGACATAACTTTTTATCTTAATCTGATCATTTACGTAATATCTTTTCCCCATGTTATATATTGTCTACATTTTTATATATGTTGATTATATAATTTAACATATTAATATAATTTACATTATATTTAGTTCATTTTTATTTAATTATTATTTTTATAGTATGATTGTTAATTTGTTTATTTTTTTCATCATTTTAACATATGTACTGTATTAAAAAAGTTACTAAACTTTATATTTGCAACCTTAAAAATGTATTGTTTTTATTTTGCATTTTTCAGACATGTCTTTAAAAGGAAAATTGGAGTGTATATCACAAAAAAAAAATTATAATTGAGTATATAACTGTTTGACCTAAGTTGCTAGGATACAACGTGTGTAATATGTATAATTGCAATTCTGCCCCTACGAGTCACCAGTTCCACCTTTTGAAATTAAAATAAATAAATATATATAAATCTTTTTACTTGAATGTGTTTTATTTCATGTAACTCCCTCTCCCTTTCGTTTTCACATCAAAAGGTAAATTTACCTTCTCCTCTCAGCGAAGGTTACTGTCATATAATCTCTCAAAACTCTGGAGAAACTCGCCGACAATCATTCCGGTGGCAGTGAAAAACGTCTTTAAGTGAAGGTTACTGTCATCACTGATGATTAATGTTATGTACTGTTTTGTTTTCAGTTCTCAAAAGAGCATCACCATGTCTGGAAAAAAGAAGAAGATAAACTTGCGGACTATACTATTCTTTTGGAGAAGATAACAATATTTGTTAAATCGTGTTTTATTCTATTGTATGCATATGCAATAGAGATGTAAAGAATATTTATTATGTTTGTTATGTTCATGTTATGTAATTCGAAATAGTCTGTTACTATACTTATTTTATCATATATAGTTCCATTTGACGATTAATAAAGAATGTTCTTGTTCACCAATATATATTATACTATGTATTTTGTTCTATTCCATTTGAGTTTAGGGTCTAGTCTTGAGTTTAGGGTTTAGTGATTATGACTTAGAGTTTAGTATTTATTTGGAAGGTGGGGTTGAGGTTTGGGTTTAGTGACTCTATCATGTATCGTTCTATTTGACGAGTAATAAAGATTGTTCTATTTTGTTTACCAATATGTATTATACTATATGTATTTTATTTCATTATGTTTGAGTTTAAGGCCTATACTTGGATTTAGGGTTTAGTGATTATGATTTAGGGTTTAGTATTTGGAAGATGGGGGTTGAGGTTTGGATTTAGGGGGAATCAGTGATTAAGGTTTATGGTTTAGCACTTAGAGAGAAAAGTATATATAATGAATATATTTGTGGTAATTATGTGGGGTTTATAATTCTATACTGTTTTGACGCTATAAAATAGAACATCTAATACATATATATGTGGTCAGTAAACATATATGTGGATAGTTTCTCTTTTTTTTTTTTATGTGCAATAGTTTTTATATTTTTTTGACTTTATGTTTTGTCAACCACGTGATTTCTCTTTCATTTATCTGCTATCTATAAAGAAGAAGTATGGAACCGAATATTTTGTGATACAAATGTTAAAGATTACATTATGTCAAAATCACATATATATTCTTCGTTTCTCTTTCTGTTTTATATACACTAAATTCTCCCTTTTAAAAATAGGACTGTCTATTCCTATTTCATTTCATCCTTCGAATTCCTATCTTGTTCATGTTTTGAAAATTTAGTAATTTTACTGAGAGGTAAATATGAAATTTTTATTCATTCTCAAAATTTCTAATATAATCCATTATTATCTGGTCATGATTTTCCGTTTACTTTCTCGTATTTTTCATATTCTTGTTTAATATTGTTTCTAGTATTTTATGTAGCCGTACTTTTTATTCCTCTTTCTTCGTTTTTTTTGTGTTATTTGGTGTTTTCGCATTAAGCTCACACTAGATGATAATCCGCGCCATGTGCAGAGTGAGTTTTTTTTTTAAATATATTGTATTTAAATAAATATTTTGTTATCAATAATTTTTTTTACATTTGATTAGGGATGGGCATTCGGGTACCATTTGGTTCAGAAGATTCTATTTGGTTTTGATATTTGCGGAATTCGAATCTTCGCAGGTTCGGTTTGGTTTAGGTTCAGATAACTCAATTAATTTAAAAAGATTAAAGTTCATATATACTTTAACTTTCTCAAAATCTAAAATTTAAAATAATATATAACATATAAATTTAAAAAATGAATGCCAAAATACTTAAACTTAACAAAGAAATTGGTTTATCTTAAATATTTAGACAAAAAAATCAATAAATATTTCAAGTATTTTTGGTATTTGGAATATCATTTAGCTATTTTAAAATGTACATTTAACTATTTTATATATTTCTAAGTATTTTGGAAAATTTTAAAACATCTCATGTATTTTCTACATTCTTAGATGTTAAATTTAAAAATAAATTAATATATTTAAGTATATAAATCTGGTTCGAGTACACTCGAATACCCGAAATAATTCGATTCAATTTTGGTTCTCTAGATACCAAAATTTTGAATCCATTTAGATATCTAACCAATTTTGGTTAAAGATATGTACTACTTTTTAGATTAGATTTAGCTTGGTTATTTGGATTCAGCTTTTTTGTCCAATCCTATATTTCTTATTGTAACAAAATTTTAAATGAATGGGATAATGGTTCATATTGATTTTGGGTATGCAACAATTTTTAAACCAAAACACATTCTGTTATGTACGTGATCCATTTAGTTAATCATTAAAAATTGCTTAAGACCCATTAAAAATGATTGGCTGAACTAAAATACGTTATCATTAATTTCTTTTAATAATATAAAATTAAATAAAAAGTAAAGAGAAAATTTTTTTTTTATCAAATCTTTATTATTCATAATCATTAATTGTTAGATATATATATATATATATATATATATATATTAATCATATTAGGTAATTCCGTATCTTTTATTTAAGGAAAAAATATTGAATATTCTTTTGTACACTACTAATTAAATATGATATTTAGTTTAATAAAAATATAACAAATATTTAGTTAGACCAACATATTTCTCTAAGAGTTCTGAAAATCATTATCATTGTGACACGTGACTACCAAAAAATGTTGTGATGCTCCATGATTAATATAAATTGGATTGGATATTCGCGCATTTGCGCGGGATGAGAATTATATATTAAAAATATTTTATGTCTTATTTTTATTTTGTGTTCTTTTATATATTATAAAATATTATATATATATATATATATATATTTAATAATTAAAAATCTGTAACTATTATATATATAATTAATTTAGAGAGCACGTAAATAAAATGATTATATTTGTGTATTTACAATCACTTTATATAAGTAAATCTAATTATTAAATGATATTAATATATATATATATATATATATATATATATATATATATATATATATATTATGCTTTTAATTTGGACATCTTATAAATGAAGTTTCTCACTTACATATTTTTTTGTCAACTCTTTTTTTTTGAGGGATCAGATGCTAAGACAAAGGAGAATGCTTAATTGTCGTAACAGGCGGAGCGAAACGCTCTTCCCGCATAAAAAAAGCGAGAAAGTAACCACTCCTCACATGGTTTTATGATCATATATATTTTTTATAATAAAAATTTTAAAATATTGATAACATTATTTTTAATATGAGAGATTTAATATTTACAATAATTTATCACAGTTTAAGAAAATTAAATTCAAAGTTTTTCATTAGAGTATTAAGTTCTCAATACTTGTTCAATAAAATTTTGGAATTAAATATTTATGTATTTTTAAATAGTATTTAGTTTAATTTAAACATCACGAAAATATACATATATACATATATACATCTAATTTAAATATCTATTAAATGATATTTCTTACTCATTAATTATATAATTTTTTGTATCTTGCTATAACAAAAAATTTAAACTATTAATCAAAAATATTATATGTGAAAGTTTTAAAAAATTTATTAATTTATAGCCGTTTTGTAAATTCAAAATATAACATATATAAAAATTCTAATTTTTTTTGTTATATAGTTAATGTTATTGTTTAATTTAATTTCACAATATAAATTTAACAAAAAAGAGTAGATGCTATACAATTTTTTATCAAATATTTCATATTTAAATCATTAATTTTCATGTATATATTATAACTATATTAGGTAATTTCGTAAATTTTATTTAAGAAAATAATGAATAGCACTAACAATAGTTTTATGCTTAGTTTAATAAAAAAATATATTATATGTTTATATGGGCCAATATTTTTTTAAAATAAATTTGAAAAGCATTATCATGATAATACGTGTCTACCAAAACATGTTGTAATGCTTCTCAATTAATATATGAGATTCTGTTATTGCTATAAGCAGTTGTTTCAAATTATTTTTAGAATTTGAATGTCTTTTTTTTTTTAGATTCTATATTTCTTTTTTTTTTGTGCAACACGATTCTATATTTCTATTGTCTTGGTTTTATTCTTCTACTTTTTGTTGGGGACAGATTTTTTTTTATCATCATTTATTTTTCTTATTTTGGGTCTAATGGGCTTGGAAAAATATTATTATTAGATATGGCCCAAATTTTTTAAAAAAATGTGAATTGCTTGGATGTCAAGTTGATGATTCAAATAATCAAAAACACTTTTAGGGTTTTTCTTCGATCTCGCTGCATCTTCTGTCTGAGCTTTGATTCACGCTTCGCTTAGGGTTTTGATTTCGCTGTCAAATCATTTTTCTCTTTTCAGATTTGTTACATCCGAGCGTTGTTTGAATATAAGATTTATATGCATAGCCTGAAATCTATAAATCCAACCACTACAGAAGTTACTATGGATAATGAAGAATTGGAATTGTCGAGGCAGGAGCTTGATCTTGTTTCCGTCGCAACGTATCGGTTATACACCAAGGGTTTGGTGAGTGAAGAGGTTATTAAGGATGATAGGATGCTGGTGGGTGGTTCAGGCTTGTCCCTCTGTGACTCGAACGATAACTCGAAATTGGAGACCAACAAAGCTCTGAGAAACCGAGGAGTCCTGGCACACCCTGAAGCTGCGGAATTGGCTGCCATATTTCAAGGGCTGAGTTGGGCGTTGAAACTTGGTGTCAAAAGTATCCAATTCTTCTGTGAGGATTCCATCATCTTGGATTATGTAAGTCTTTTTTGTCATCGATTATCCTTTGTGTTATTCACAAGTTACGTATGTGTGTCTGACAGTTAACTTGTAAAGCTGCACCAAACGAGTCCATTGTAGCAAAATTTTTGAAGAAAGTGATTCTTCTTCAGAAAGAATTCACGTCTTGCCAGGCATTCGCTGTGCGGAGAGACATGAATTCTGTCATTAAGCTCGCAAGAGATGCCATTGCTTCTCAAACTAGATGGCGTGAAGAAGGTGACGACACCAACACTGAGTATGAGACTTGTCCAGCCTGCTACGCACACGTTTCACCTCCTCACAAACTTGAGGTGAAGAGCGGTTGCTTCCACCGCATCTGCTTTACGTGCATAAGGGATTGTTTCTCATCCCAACGAGCACGAGGGGACACCCTACTCTGCCCTTACCCGGGTTGCGAGAACCAACTTGTGCTAGAGGATTGTAAAGGTATTGCTGATGATGATGATATCTTATCATCCACCGCAAGAAGGAGAAGGCCATTCCCGTTTTAGACAGAGTCTACTGTCCCGAGCCTTCTTGTAACTTTTTTATGTCCGACCGCGACCTCATCTCCGTTGATCCTCGGCACAAGAAGTCAGTAGCACGCACGTGCGTGAAGTGCGGCTTGTGTTTCTGCAAAAAATGCCATGTTCCATGGGACGACAAGAAGACGTGCGATGAGTTCAAGAAGTCGCAGTCTTACCTGACATCTGAAGCCGCATTTCACGCACGTGCGTGCTACTGACTTTAGTGAAGACAGAGGGATGGATGAAGTGTCCCCAGTGTGCCACCGTCGTTCAAAAAAATGGCGGGTGCCAACGCATTAGCTGCAGGTATTATTGGCACATTTGTTATTTATATTATTTGTCATTGACTCTAATTATCTGTGTGTTTTTAATTTTCTCATAGACATTGCAACCACAAGTTCTGTTACGCATGTGGAGCTGCGTGTACAAGGAAGAAAATGTCATGCAACTGCAGCCCACAAGACTAGGCTTCTAACGTGCTGAAGGGCCTGATATGCCAATCTTCTTTTCAAATAAAAAGACTATATAGACCATTCCAAATAGTTTCCAGAACAAGTTTGTGATGCATATTCGACACTTGCTTTCTCTCTTCAAATTCCATGTACAAGAATCTAATGCAAATGAAACCTAACACGAAAACGACCATTGTTGAGTTTTATAGTTAAAGCTGATACCAATGTTGTAAACAATATATGCATAAAAAGACAAAAGGTAGAATGAATCAGAACTTGTAGCCCATAACTTTGCAACATCTCTCAAAACCAAAACCAATCATAGATTACATACTAGCTAAATCTATGCAATCTACGTACATATGTCTGGTAGACAAGGTTGATTGGTGGCTGAATCGTTCTCAAAGGCAGGAGGCGCTTGCCCCTATATCATCTCGCAACTCATTTCTTCAAAAATCTACAACAACAAAAAGGATACTTTTTTTTTTGGGTCAAAATGGATACTTATGTAAACAAAACTCCAGGGATTAGATGGTGAGAAAGAGAGACTTACTTTGGGTTCATGGTGGCCGAACTCATTGGTGAAAAAGTCTTGTGTTGGGTTCTTGCACATATTCACACACCCACTGTTCTCCAGATACCTTCAATAGCAAGCAAGGTCTGTGACAATTTTGAACATGACACCAACGAGTATGTTGGAAGACATACCTGCATTTCTTTATACGAACTCTACTTCTCTGTTTCACCCCATTCACTTCCACTTCTAGGAGGCACCGTAAGAACTGCTACATTGAACTCTGCAGCCCATTTCGTAGGCGGTAACAGTTTTCGAAACTGTTCATTGAAAGAAAAACCTCCCTCACGGCCTCTTGCTGCTGCGATCTGGATCGTCCCTGCATCACTCACTCTCTTTGAAACCTCAACGTAGTCGTATTCCGAAAACCCTTTCTCCTTGTTCTTCTTCTTCATCAAGCCACCAAACTTGTCCATCTAACTCGCTCGCGAACATCCCCATGAACACTCTGAGACTAGCAATAGCCGCCATGGATAAGATCTCTCCCTCTCTGTGTCTCAACTTTCCTACCAACTTTGTTACTCCGTTTTGTTACGTAAGTGGCAAAGGGTGAGACAAAGAGAAGATTCAATACACAACTTACAAGAGTCCACTTTGTTTACCCGCACAACCGTTTATTTTATTTTTAATTTTTACTAGGTGGACAGTCCGCACGCCTGTGCGGACATTAATATAAACTTTACATCGCATAAAAATTGATATCAGTGTATAAATGTATTGTAACTCTCTTTCTCTTCTACGTAAGTATTCTGTTTTTCCTTGTATATCTTTCTATTTATTCATTTCGGTTTTTCTTGTTTTTTTTCACACACATTCATTCTGTATCTTTTATATCTCTCATCCCGTTCTTTTTGTCTCTCATTGTACCTCTTTCGCTTGCTTTCCCTTTTTCTTTTTCACTCTTGATCAAATAATCTTAAAATCTTTCAAACTTACAATCACTCTCTCACAATCATTTATATTCGTTCTTTTACCCCATCTTTATTATAACCCTCAATATTTTACTTTCAAATTTTTCTGTTCCTTTTTTGTTATAAATTTTTTACCATATTTTGTTAAATCTTCAAAACACTCTCACATAATATTAATAAATGATTTCATGATGTATCTCACTTACATTTAGTCTCTCACTTATTTCACTCTCATATTCATCATGATCATAACCCTCATATCTCATCATCAACATATCTCCCTCCCTCACCTATTTTTTTATTTAGCTTTTAAGGTAAAACTCACAATTGAACTCACAACAAGTTAACCAAATAAATTCATTATTAAATTCTCTCCAATTTTCATACTATCTTATCAAATATTGATTCATTTGACCAAGACTTTCATTAGAAAATAAATATGTTTTAAAAACTATTATTATTATTTTGAATTACTTCAATACACACCTATTTTAAGTAAATCTGATTTACTGTATTTCAAAAAAATATGATTAGCTAATTGTATATCCTAAAAATATCTAAATTTTTAAATAATGTGATGTCATTAGACATAGATATATAAAAATAACATGTTTCTATTTGTATAAATTTTGTTATAACTTTGTCATCATAGATTTTTAAAAAATTAATATACCGCAAAAAACTACTTATCATTATTTTAAAATAATTTTATTTTAAATTTAATTTACGTTATATTTTGTATTTTTGACATTAATAAATTTAGAACTTATCATTTATATTTATCTTCATTGCTCATTTTTTTTTATGTTGTATACACCTAAAACTAATTAGTTTACAGTTATACTAATACGTAAAAAAAATTTCGATATACAAATAAAAATGATGTAAGAAAAAATATAAAATCAGGAAAAATATAACAAAAGGTTTTATTATTATTCACTCATGTTTTTTATTTATGTATATTTTTTCTTATTGAAAATTGACATGCCAATTTTATTATACTCAAAGCTATATGAATAGAATAACGTTAGTCTCGTATTAATATAATTCAACTATAATATCATTTTGTCATTGAAGATAATTGATTTTTTTAATTATATATTTGACTATTTTACATTTATTTGATATATTTTTAGAATATATGTATATAGTGGATATAATTATTATTCAGTTTATATTTATTATTGCATTCACTAAAAATATAATATATTTAAATATTTTTGGATCATCATTTTTGTCGGAGAGACTAAGATTTGCAAATATCCGTTTATATTTAAATCATTTATATAATGTAATCTATATTATAATGATTCAGTTTAAAAGTTCCTTAAGGTGTTCACATAGGCAGATTGTGGGTCCCACATTTTTATTTTAAAATAGATAGTTTTTTTTAAAATGGCTACAAACAAAGAATATCAATTTAGCCAAGTGGTCTAAGACCCTATGTTTGGTCTCCAAGGACACGGGTTCAAGTCCTACTGCTCTCATGCATAAACCAATTAATGTCATCATCATAGAAATATTTTTTAAACACACATAGTCTTGGTAAGATGGTCACAAAAAATGAAATACACTTTAGCCAAGTGGTATAAGGTGTCTAATTAAATCCACAAGATTGTGGGTTTAAACCACGCAACTATTATGTATTTTTGATTTTTTTTTATTTAGGTTATTATCATATGGGCTTTTTGTTTATAAGGTTCTTATGTTTTTTTTTGGGCTTATTGTTTTAAAGATCAAAATAGTTGTATAAACCCTAAACCTTAATAAGTTCAAACCCAAAATAGTTAAAAATGAATCTAAAACGAATAATAAAACAAAAAACAAAAAAAACAAGTCTCACGTGGTTGCCTACGCGAATGGCTAAAAGAACCTTAAAACTATCATATTATAATATAGTTCAACCCAAAAAATAATAAAAAATAAATCCAAAAACGAACAGACAAAAAAAAACCAAAAAAAAAAGTGAATTCCACGCGGGTGCATACGTGGATGGCTTAATGAAGGTTGAATAATATAGATTAGGAGCTCAAAAAGTTAAATCATTGCACATATTTCCTAATATATATTTTCAAAAAAATTGTATGTGAGATAAAATAAAATAAAACAACAAAAATTAATTATTTTCGTTATTATTAAATGAATATATAATTTCTCTTACATTTTAATAACTACTATNTGAATAATATAGATTAGGAGCTCAAAAAGTTAAATCATTGCACATATTTCCTAATATATATTTTCAAAAAAATTGTATGTGAGATAAAATAAAATAAAACAACAAAAATTAATTATTTTCGTTATTATTAAATGAATATATAATTTCTCTTACATTTTAATAACTACTATAATTTCCTTGAAAAAATTCCTCACCACCGGTTCCAGACTCCGACGAATGGATTCCCACAGTTGATGACGCCGTAGATAAAAATGTCACATCATTTATGAACAAAACTCAAACTTACAAAAAACCATATATAAAAGCATATCTAATGAAACTTAAACAACGAATATTAACTTAATTAAGGTTATTTTCAAATTGATAAATCGTTTAATACAAATATAAATACTATAAATATAGAATTATATCAAGTTTTGATCTACGATACAAAAACTATTTACAGCAAAAAAAAAAACACTCCTACTTTTACACACTAAAAACTATATTATAGCCTAACTATTCCTATAAACCTTACTTTGCATATAAATAACATTTAACACATTCCTAATATTTTTCAAAAAAAATTGTATGTGAAATAAAATAAAATAAAATAAACAACAAAATTTAAGTAAGTTATTTATTAAATGAATATGTAATTTCTCTTAAATTTTAATAACTACTATAATTTCATGGGTTCAATTCCCACTGCTCTCATGCATAAACCAATTAATGTCATCATCATAAAAATATTTTTTAAACACACATAGTCTTGGTAAGATGGTCACAAACAATGAAATACACTTTAGCCAAGTGGTATAAGGTGTCTAATTAAATCCACAAGATTGTGGGTTTAAACCACGCAGCTATCATGTATTTTTAATTTTTTTTNTAGATTAGGAGCTCAAAAAGTTAAATCATTGCACATATTTCCTAATATATATTTTCAAAAAAATTGTATGTGAGATAAAATAAAATAAAACAACAAAAATTAATTATTTTCGTTATTATTAAATGAATATATAATTTCTCTTACATTTTAATAACTACTATAATTTCCTTGAAAAAATTCCTCACCACCGATTCCAGACACCGGCGAATGGATTCCCACAGTTGATGACGCCGTAGATAAAAATGGCACATCATTTATGAACAAAACTCAAACTTACAAAAAACCATATATAAAAGCCTATCTAATGAAACTTAAACAACGAATATTAACTTAATTAAGTTTATTTTCAAATTGATAAATCGTTCAATACAAATATAAATACTATAAATATAGAATTATATCAAGTTTTGATCTACGATACAAAAACTATTTACAGCAAAAAAAAAAACACTCCTACTTTTACACACTAAAAACTATATTATAGCCTAACTATTCCTATAAACCTTACTTTGCATATAAATAACATTTAACACATTCCTAATACTTTTCAAAAAAAATTGTATGTGAAATAAAATAAAATAAACAACAAATTTAAGTAAGTTATTTATTAAATGAATATGTAATTTCTCTTAAATTTTAATAACTACTATAATTTCATTGAAAACATTTCTCACCACCGACTCCAGACTTCGGCGATGAATTCCCACAGTCGATGACTCCGTAGATAAAAATGCTATATCATTTATGAACAAAACCGAAACTTACAAAAAATCATATATAAAAACCTATCTAATGAAACTTAAACAACGAATATTAACTTAATTAAGGTTATTTTCATATTGATAAATCGTTTAATACAAATATAAATACTATAAATATAGAATTATATCAAGTTTTGACATACGATATAAAAACATGAAATTTTCCATTTTATTATTAATTGGTGTCATTAGAAGAATCCACTAAACCAACAATCGAACAAAATACACGCAAACATAATAATCCCGGCCCCGCGCTTGCGCGGGGAATATGCAACTAGTATATGATAATAAATTGCTTCAATGAATAAATTATGTTAAATTTTTTATATTTAAGATGATTGGTTTATTATTTGGTAAGATAGTTAGATAAGATAATTCTAATATTAGTTTCCTTTTAAAATCTTTAATTAAGTAAATAAAAATTCAAATACCAACAACCAATTAAATTAAGAGAATTATTTCTAAACTTTACCTATGAATGACATCTAAGCAAAAATCATTAAAGTGACTTCTCATTTAATATATAGTAGGATTTTGTCTTTTATGATATATTTGTAAATTAGTCGTATTAAATTGATTTATTTGTACTGGATGTTAGCAATTTATTAATGTCATATAAATAAACTAAACATCAGAAAAGTACATCCATACTGATGTTTGTTTTATAATTTTTTTATAAAAAAATATTTATTTG